AGAAATTTACCACTACCACTACAAAATAAATCCATAGTTGTAAATACCTTTATTCTATCCAAATGTTGGTACACTGTACATGTACAACCGGTTCCCGAGTGTTTAATCAAAGAAATTTAATTATGTTTTTCAAATTTTGTGTGGAATAATAAAGAAAAACTTTTAAAATAATCAACATATGTATCGGTGACTAAGGCAGCCTAGACAGTGAAGCTTCAAATTCAAAATGTTTCTCTTCAGAGCTAAAAATCATCCATAATTTATTCAGACCACATTTTCAAGCATTATGAACGAATGCATGTTTGTTGCTCCCTACAAAATACCTGAACACGGGTAAAAAAAATAACATTTTCAACATCGTTTACAATCAGGTATCGCTGACCCAGATATATCCTTTTTATGCTTAGCTGTTGTCATCCTGAGACGAAATCACATTGAGCAAGAGGCATTTTTTACTGAGCACGGAGATCCTCATGAAACAGACATTATTTTCTATCTGGGTTAATTGAAGTTACAGACATTTGTTGTGAATTATTCCCATGTTTTTCATCACGTTCTACTGCTGTAGAACTAATTCGGGAACGAAAACGTCATACATCGTGGTCAGTCGTTGATAATGCCTATAATGTTATTATATCATCTCTGACTGTGGTTTGGCGTAATAGCATAAATACCAATGCACGAGACATTAATATAAAGCTTAATTATGAAGCATATTTTTCTGCAGTTGATAGGGTAATTTAGTCCAATTGTGTTTCTGTAAAGTTGACTTCGATAGAACACGTTAATACTATACTATCCCCAAAACAAAACACACTGGCGTTTTGTATTTTTAAAATCTATCAATTACCTATTGTGTTCAAACAATCGCCAAAATATGTAATAAAAGTGTTCAAAACATGATGTTATACAATTCCACATGTAAACAATTGACTTTACCTGAAAATGTTGATTCAGATGAAATTTCTTACAAGGATTAAAAAAAAGCATCGCCACAACGCAACAGAAATCTTCTTGCACGTGAAAATTATGCAGCAAAGAGCATGCAGTGTCTGGCTATAAAAACCCAGATTACTTTCGGAAATCGGCATTCGTTTTGAAGGAGTTTCGAGGTCAAATCACTATGCCACGACTCAAGTGACGCTACGACACGAAACATCGCCATTGGAAGAATGCGGGCTGGGCAGTCCCAATCTTCTGTTGCCAGGCGTCTGAATGTTAGTCAGAGCAGGATATCACAGCTTGCAGCTCGTTGCAACCAAACAGGCATAACAAATAGGAAGTGTCACCACACCACTGCAGCCCAAGATCGGTACATCTGAGTAAATCGTACTGCCTCGGGTGAGAGCACAGCAGCCAGGGCTCTTGGTCTTCGGAGGATATCTGGTCAAACTGTACGGAACAGGTAAGAAGCCAGGAGACCCTACGTCGGGAAAGTGCTACGTCGTCACCATTGCGCTCAACGTCTCCATTGGTGTAACAGCATGACTGGAACCTACGAAACTGGTGACGCATTTGGTTTATAGTCCGTTTGGCTCAAAAGCGGGCCGATGAATTGCAATCTAACTCGAAAACTAATAAACAGAAAATACTCAATGAAACACTGATCATAATCAAAACGTCAGACCAACTCTGTGAGTTTTTTTGCAGAATTTATGTCCTAAAAATGAAAAAGTTGTTTAACAAACTATCATTGAAATATTGACACAGTTCACTATTTGTTACGAGGGACGAGTGCAGAGAAAGGGACAGCCAGGTGTTCGAGAAAGGATGGAGACGGCACAGCACAGGTTAATGAATCAATAACTTTGTCGGTACTTGTGCACGTGCTTCTCTAACACCTGGCTGTCCCTTTCTCTGTACTCCTCCATCGTAACAAATAGTGAACTGTGTCAATATTTTAATGATAGTTTGTTAAACAACTTTTTTAATTTTAGGACATAAATTCTGCAAACAAATCACAGAGTTGGTCTGATGTTTTGATTATGATCAGCGTTTCATTGAGTATTATATGTTTATTAGTTTTCGAGTTCAATTGCAATTCATCGGTCCGCTTTTGAGCCAAACGCACTATAGTGATGAATGCAGGTTCCTACTGCAGAGAGGTGACAGACGAAACACGGTCTACAGACGGGTCCATGAACGCTAAGCCCCTAACTGTGTGCGTACACGTGGTAGGCACAACAGGTATGGACACGTCTTTGAAGGTCGGCGAATGGTTTACCTAAAATTATCCACTTAGTTGTATAGACATTTGCCTCTTCTAAACGGATGTAAAAATTCATCTAACTTTTGGACGAGTTATAGATGTTTGAAAATACATTTTCACAATTTCTGGGTTATGCGTTTCTTTGTTTGAATAGTATGTAACAACCTAGCGATATATTGATGTATACGAACGATGTAGTTTTCTAGACTGCAATCAGTGTTGTGAGTTCTTAAAAAATGTAAAATACTTGTTTACAATTAATTTTCTTTTGTGAATGCTCATAGTGTAGTTGCAGCAAAGTTGACCTTTTCATCAGTGGAGTATGGATTTTTAACATCAGATTCATGGCGATTGCAGCTTTCATATAAAATCTGTTGAGTTAAAAGTGGCTTGGAAGCAAAAAAAAAAGCGCTCTTTTCTTTAACCCAAACCATTGACATCGAGGTTTATACTAAGATGAATGAATGTATGTGCAATTACATAATGTGACAGAGACAGAACTCGGGTGCACGAGCCATAAATCAATGCGTTTTGTTTATGGTGTATAGCCTGATAGGTGTTAAGTTCAAATTGCATGTGGTCAGTGATCGAAGTTATGTATTGCATATTGTCATTACCCGACAGGCAGGCAGACACATAGGTGTTAAAGGTCACATGCAACGTAAAACACAACTTTGCAGATTCTGATACCTTTCGGTATGGACTTACCGAAACAAATCGTCAAAAATGCAAATTCAACTTATAAAGTTAAAAAATAACGCGATGAAAAAAAACGCGCGAAATCGGAGTTCAAACGTTTCACTAATTTTCCCCAGACTTTTCTGGGGAAAACGGGTTTCAACAGCTGGGCTGCGCTCATAGCACGTGCGCAGTGAAATAGGTTCGCGCAGCTTGGAAGCGGGTTGTCGGGTGAATACTCGGTGAAGGCTTTGGTGTGAGCTATTTTTCTAATGTTTTGTTGATATCTCACAGGCGCGAGCTTTTATATGTTATGACAGTAAATTAACTGTTTATATAATTTCATTTGTCTATTTCACCACACGTTCTTCTTACCGAGTCACTTTCTCAGTTCGATACTTAAAAGCAATGTCATTATTTAGCGTTGTACAGAATTTCTAACTGTGATATAGATATGTCGTTGTCACAGACAAAACTCAATGTCTTGTTTTATTGACACCTGTGTGTCTGCCTGCCTGTCTGACAATATTCAATACACAGCTGCTATCACTGACCACATGCAATTTGAACTTAACACCAATCAGGCTATACACCATAAACAAAATGCATTGATTTATGGCCCGAGTTCGGTCTCTGTCACATTATGTAATTACACAGACAGGCAGGTGTGATACTTGAACACATGACATGTTATGATGTCTGTTGATTGCAAAATGTTATACACAAAAAATGAGCATGTATTTACAAAACCCAACATCTCTATATATACACACACAATGAGCCGTGAAGGCATCTGCAAATGAACCAGCCGTTACACTTGAGTGCACACCCACCCGCTCTGACTGGGTTCGGTATCCCGGCTGCTTCGTTTCTTGGGAAGTAAACCGAAGTACACAATTTTGCACTTTTGATTTGCGATTGTACGCGTATAATTTTGTTTATATGTTTTTTCATTACCAGCAATGTATATTATATGTCATGAATAAGTGATAATTGTGTTTTAATTATGTTTGATTTTTGGTTGCATGTGACCTTTAAGTATCGAACTGAGAAAGTGACTCGGTAAGAAGAACGTGTGGTGAAATAGTCAAATGAAATTATATAAACAGTTAAATCGGTAATCTCCTGTCATAACATATCAAAAGCTCGTGACTGTGAAATATCAACAAAAAAGCACTTGCATATCAATGTGACATCATGAATTAATAATATGGCCACCACTAAGTATGTTCTTGTATCACATTACTGTTCCTTGATCACATTAAATATATAATAATCAATACAAATTAAAACTAGTCTGCCTTACCAGTATTATCTTTAAACAGTGATATAAAGCAGGACTTTATATATGGCCTACAGTTTATAATGTCTAGTAAAGAAACATTTATATCTATCCTTGTCAAAAGCTCTAATCTATGCAGAATTTTGAAACACGAATAATTAGACATTAAATTGTATTCATTTTATCTTAAGTTCACATTTCATTTCGAGATCATAATGCTGCAATAACCCATTTCAACTTTTGACATTCCTAAAATAAGGGAAGTAAGTCTAATTGAATTATTTACCGGTTACAGTGAAGCCTCGTTAATCCGGATGGTTGTGTTTCTCAGCAAATTCTTCCGGATTGCGAATCGTCCGGACTACTGAATCAAGACCCAAGGTCAAGCAAGAGTTGCTTCCCTTACTATTACAAAAACGATACGACTCTGGATAAAACAAATAAGCATTTAATGTACATTTTTTTTGTAAATGTATACGTAAGTTGGTGAGCGTTGTTCGGCCGGAGATATGGTGTCAGAAGCAAAGTTTTTAAGGGATACCCACTGTCTTCTAATAAATGAAAGTTGCCTGGTACCCGCCTTGTTTCAAAGAGAACTTGGAGGACACTTTCTCGAAGGATCCGTGCATCATGTGTCGATCCTGGCCACTTGGCGACTACGTTGGGTGTTGATTGAGTGGTAGTGTTGACGAACGCAGGTTCGTTCACGTGTGGTGCGATTATTTGAACATGGGTCCCATCAATGACACCGGCCACATTTGGGAAGTTTGCAATGTGAGCACAGGTCTTCAACGCTGTCAACGACCTCATTGACGACAAAGCTGTGGAAAAATGGTGACAGACTTTGAAGCGGTGACCTGGAGAGGGTTTCAGCGAGTCTTTCCGGCCGTCCAGATCAAGGGCTGCCCCTTCCATATGAATCAGGCGATTTATAGGAAGGTGCAGAACTTGGGTCTGGCTACGGCTTATGAAGAGGACGTGGGAACACACAGGTGAATATTTCAGTTTTTTCCTTCTGTTTACACTCTTTCAGATGATATTGTTCAAAAATTATCTGCATTTTATTAGTATAATGATTATACCTCACATTTTTATAATTTGTTTTCTAGATTCGTCAAGAAGCTGATGGGTTTGCAATTCCTCGACGCAGCTCATATCAGGCCAGCCTTCATTAAGGTGAAACAACAGACTGTGACGCCGGATCTGGTCGCCCTCTGCGACTATTACGAAGCAACCTGGATCCGAAGCACCGTGTGGACTGTGGCTAATTGGAGCGTTTTCGGGACGGCCGACCTTGAAAGCTGGCACAAGCGCTTGAATCAGCTGTCCGGGCGACGTCACCTACCCTTCTACAGGCTGCTTCCCCTCCTCTTCAGAGAAGCTGACCTACTGCCATTACAGATTCGACTGGTCGCAGACGGTCAGCTGGACAGAAGGCAACATGCTGGTCAGCGGGCCAAGTCCGATAAGTTTTTCAGATTATGGGACGAATTCCAGGCCGCAAATCTTACCGTGTCCCAGCTGCTGAGGGTGGTGTCCAAGTTGAATGGACCAATGGTCACTGAGTGAATTGACTGTGATACGTGCTGTTGTTACGAATTGTTGCTGTTCATAAATATATGACATTATCTGTCTTCCATAACATTGTTGTCTGTCTTTTTACATTTTACGACGCTTCATTTGTATTACACACAAAGTCACACAGTAACAATATTTTCGTATCACTGAAAACAGAAAAAACCAACACAAACCCTACATTATCACATGATTATTGTCCAAATAATTACATATACAAATACAAATACATGTATACAAATAAACAAGTCTAGACAAGATACGGGAAAAATTCGTTCACTCTTCAATCAGACTTTTCTTGTCCTTAGCTGCCCTTAGTTTCGTATCACTGAAAACAAAGCATAACAACGTCGTTATACACAATCTAAGTGATTATCAAACTTAATATCTTTAGAAAATACTATTATTCAATTATTAATACACGTTTACGAAATCACCGTCTACAAACCAGTCTGGGCTACGAATCCACCGCGTCTACGAACTGGTTCAGCCTTCGAAATCACCATCTCCCTGTGAGCGATCTCATTAGCGTTATCAGTTAATTGTCTTTGACACAACGGAAACGAGATGAATCTTTGCACAATATGTGGTGCATGTGGAGCAGCTAACGTCTGTGCTACAGCCCGACTTACTGTTGGTTGTGAAATATCCATGTCATCTGAGTCGCAATGCTGCATTTTGCCTGTAGCCAAAAACCTCAATGTTACAAGCACTTTGTATAGGGATGATAAGGACCGGTTTCTAAAGGTAAGTGCATCGATTTCATCCGATATCAAGCCTGTCACAAACTCTATCCCACCTCTGTCAAGACGATAACGTCGTAATAACTCTCTATCAGTGTAGATATCAAAAACATTCTTCCTAGTGTGAAAGTTTGCGTTTCCATGAGCCGCCATAGTGGATAACTAAGAATTTTCTTAACTAGTTAGGTGTCCTCATGAGGTTTCTTAAAGTTAAGAAGAAAACTAAGAACAAAAGGACTTGTCTAAGTTATTTTCCTACAAGTTAAGAACGTTCTTCTTACAAGTTAAGAACGTTGTTATGGAAACTAACAATTCTCAGTGGATTTAAAAATTCTTAGAAGATTTATGAATACCGCCCCATCATACCGTTTGATCAATGCTACAACAACCAAGGCCTTAGTGAAGCTTTCACTAAGTTTTATGGTAGATACGTGGAGGAAATTTCCAAATTTAATGCATCAGTGACAAAAATTATGTTCGATGCAATTCCCTATTTTGATTTATATCATACGTTCCCGACGTACTTCAAGTGAACAATTTATCAGACTTAGCATAGGTTAATGGCGGGTGCCACCGATGTGGCAGGATACGGTCACCTTTTCGCGAACACCTGGTATCATCACTATCTCATAGTGATTCATAAACACATGCTTTGTCATCGTATCGCATGGTGACAATCATTGGATTGTATGGTTCAGACTCAATTTGTTTTCAAACAACATCACAAGCTGTTATGCTGCTGAAACAAATATTAGCTCAAGACATAGTCACAAACTGTACAATCGACTCTGTTTTTAGCAGAGATCTCTTAAGAATATGGAAAAGGTTTTGTCGCTTCTAATTATTTCATTTTTGGGTGAAATCAATTGGGAACAAACTTGTTTGATTGTATATGGATTTAGAAAATTATTATTCATAACGTGTAACGAATTTCATGCAAACGAGCCAGTATGTCTATCTGTACATTTCAGATATTGTCTGATATTGTTTTTAACTGAGTTAAACGGTGCGAAGACTGGCTACCTGCAACTGGCATGCTGGACGTTGGAACAAGACAGAGCTTTACAGAGACAGAAATTAACGTTTACAGTCAGTAATTCTCAGACTACAATTGATCACTTATTCAACGGATGTCATTTTTTTCTGGCTCTGTGTTAACCAACTGAACTCCCTAGGGAGTATTCAACTCGAGCAGCCTGTTAGGCGCAACGAGGAATCACACAGACTCATCCTCACAAGGCACCCATTTGCAGCTAGGTGATCTTTGACACATAGTCAGTATTTTGTCCAATGATACTGCATGTTACTAACTGTCTGCGCGTTTTCGTGTGTCCACCATCTGGTCACCTTACATCGGATGGGTTGGGTCTTTTAAGTGCACAGGGTTGTATACTACACACTGGGGGTTGTGACAACGCTGAGAGAGCCTGCAAGTAATGTTAGCTCCAAGGTTTTACACCCGGTCACAAGGGGGGATCGATCCAGGCACCTTTCGCTAACTGGTGCGGCGCCTTAGACAGCTCCCCCACCATGTCCCCACAATCACGACATCGGTAGACGAATATCATTGTGACAGACATCAGAGGTTTCATGCCGCTATATAAGTTAAATATAAGACTCGTTTCTGGTTGGCATAGTATAACCTTCGAGCAGTGACGGAGTTAGTACAAGTAAAGGCTATAGCCCTCAGTGTGACTAGTTCTCTAAAGTATCAGGTATTACAAGGTCAGGAGTGTGTGTGTGCGTGCGCGCGCGCATGTGTGTGTAATCTGCTCAATCCACGCTGAAAGCAAACAGAAAGCGCTAAATCAAGCATAAGCCCAGTATATACAGTATTCAAGAGGAGAAAGTCATATCAGATAATGACAATATTTATTTTGTTTATTCATAAAACAGTCAATACAAATGCAACATAATTCAATGAAAGGTGTTAGTCATATCTCAGTTAACTGGTGTAGGACACAAACAGTCAATACAAATGCAACATAATTCACTGAAAGGTGTTAGTCATATCTCAGTCTACTGGTGTAGGACACAAACAGTCAATACAAATGCAACATAATTCACTGAAAGGTGTTTGTCATATCTCTGTCTACTGGTGTAGGACACAAACAGTCAATACAAATGCAGCATAATTCACTGAAAGGTGTTAGTCACATCTCTGTCTACTGGTGTAGGACACAAACAGTCAATACAAATGCAACATAATTCACTAAAAGGTGTTAGTCATATCTCTGTCTACTGGTGTAGGACACAAACAGTCAATACAAATGCAACATAATTCACTAAAAGGTGTTAGTCATATCTCAGTCTACTGGTGTAGGACACAAACAGTCAATACAAATGCAACATAATTCACTGAAAGGTGTTAGTCATATCTCAGTCTACTGGTGTAGGACACAAACAGTCAATACAAATGCAACATAATTCACTGAAAGGTGTTAGTCATATCTCAGTTTACTGGTGTAGGACTCAAACAGTCAATACAAATGCAACATAATTCACTGAAAGGTGTTAGTCATATCTCAGTTTACTGGTGTAGGACACAAACAGTCAATACAAATGCAACATAATTCAATGAAAGGTGTTAGTCATATCTCAGTTTACTGGTGTAGGACTCAAACAGTCAATACAAATGCAACATAATTCACTGAAAGGTGTTAGTCATATCTCAGTTTACTGGTGTAGGACACAAACAGTCAATACAAATGCAACATAATTCAATGAAAGGTGTTAGTCATATCTCAGTTTACTGGTGTAGGACACAAACAGTCAATACAAATGCAACATAATTCACTGAAAGGTGTTAGTCATATCTCAGTTTACTGGTGTAGGACACAAACAGTCAATACAAATGCAACATAATTCACTGAAAGGTGTTTGTCATATCTCAGTCTACTGGTGTAGGACACAAACAGTCAATACAAATGCAACATAATTCACTGAAAGGTGTTAGTCATATCTCAGATTACTGGTGTAGGACACAAACAGTCAATACAAATGCAACATAATTCACTGAAAGGTGTTACTCATATCTCAGTTTACTGGTGTAGGACACAAACAGTCAATACAAATGCAACATAATTCAATGAAAGGTGTTAGTCATATCTCAGTTTACTGGTGTAGGACACAAACAGTCAGTACAAATGCAACATAATTCAATGAAAGGTGTTTATCATATCTCAGTCTACTGGTGTAGGACACAAACAGTCAGTACAAATGCAACATAATTCACTGAAAGGTGTTAGTCATATCTCAGTCTACTGGTGTAGGACACAAACAGTCAATACAAATGCAACATAATTCAATGAAAGGTGTTAGTCATATCTCAGTTTACTGGTGTAGGAGACAAACAGTCAATACAAATGCAACATAATTCACTGAAAGGTGTTTGTCATATCTCAGTTTACTGGTGTAGGACACAAACAGTCAATACAAATGCAACATAATTCACTGAAAGGTGTTAGTCATATCTCAGTTTACTGGTGTAGGACACAAACAGTCAATACAAATGCAACATAATTCAATGAAAGGTGTTTGTCATATCTCAGTCTACTGGTGTAGGACACAAACAGTCAGTACAAATGCAACATAATTCACTGAAAGGTGTTAGCCATATCTCAGTCTACTGGTGTAGGACACAAACAGTCAATACAAATGCAACATAATTCTCTGAAAGGTGTTTGTCATATCTCAGTCTACTGGTGTAGGACACAAACAGTCAATACAATCGCAACATAATTCATTGAAAGGTGTTAGTCATATCTCAGTTTGTAGGACACAAAAACAACCGTTTTAAACATTTGGAGCGTTACACAACAGGTTTGAAGTACAGTGACAATGACTGTCAACGGTCAAAAGGTTTTTTTTACTCATTCAACGTGTGAAAATAACGAGACTGAATACTGCCAATCGTAACATTGCAATAGAACGTCTTGAAGATGGATAGTGCCAGTCTGCAGTTGAACGTAATATTGACGTGAATCAGAGCACCTTATCTTCACAATGTTATCAGTACACCGACCTCAAGTCCCCAAAGATCGTCCAAGAAGCGGTGGACCAAGTCACCATCCCTGCACAAGAATACCACATTCTTGCCTTTCCTCTATGTCAATGACAGGCTTCTGTCACCGAGACAACAAAGCATCTATTTCGTGTGAGAAGCGGTATATATTCTCAAAAGTCACCTTCTTCAGACTATGAACGGAAAGAGGGAGTTGTTCCAAAATACCAACGCTATACAACACCAGCACATGTCACTACTGACTACGATTGTGCATCTAAGGGTTACCTGGACACGCCTGTACAGGCCAAGGTGTTACAAGAAGAATGCAGGAGAATTCCACAGTAGAGAATCTGTTGACTTAGTATTCTGTATTCTGTATTCTGTATTCTAGACATTGGAGGTGAAGAGCACCGATAACTGCACCCAGTGTTCATAACAGGTAGTGGGCGAACCTGTCTTGTGACAGGACTTGTGTTATGCCTTTTCGTGTACAGAACATGTGACCACTACCATTGAAAGTTGCCAATATACATCAATTGAATTAAACGAGTTTCTCTTTAAACGTGTTATTCACTTGGTTTGCATTTTCAGGACTGTAAGAAAAACACATCAGTTTAAATCCCTATATATCACCGTTTACACCTATTAATCATACATTGATTCTCATACAACGAGACATAAGATATTCGCTTAACAATGCAAGAAGATGTCTCCCCTGTCTAACAAGCTATTTATGGATTTATTCCCCATTTGTATTACAATTCGATAAATAACCCCAAAAGACGCCCCGCCTACTCTTGTGTTATGTTTGCTGTTGAAGGATTACCAGTGTTGTCAGTTGTAGGAATAGTGGGCACTTGTGCATGAGTGTGGTCAGGAGAGGTTCTCCCAGATAGAACAGCATCAAAGTTAGCTGCTTCATGACTGCAGGATAGCGTGCAAGGATGTATGGCCATGTTAGTGAGGACGAGAGTGTGGACTAGGAAAAACGCCATCACAATATGCATTGTGTAATACATTTGTCCGAGGGCAGTGATACGGGTATACTCAGCACTGACACCACAGGAAGAGAGGAGAAGCAGCAGAAAGGTAAGTAAGACATCATTCTGACATCGGCAGCAGAATCTTCCTTTCAGCGAGTCATATCTGTGACACAGTCTCCAACAGTACCACAAGGTGTAGCCGAGACAGGCTGATGTGATTAGCGACAAAATCGCAGCAGGCAAAACGTAGGACAACAGCAGTGAGTGCCAGCTTCCCATCCAACGCACGACTCGGCCTTGACCGTACCCAACGTACAAAGTAGGGTGTTCTTTCTCAAGAACCAGGCACGCAACAACTATGCCCAATGCTACCAAAATGCATCCAATCAAAAGAGGTAACCATCGAGGTTTGGTTTTGGTGTCTTTAAACAGGTTCAGGGCTTTCTGTTGCAAACAGAAAGCGTGGAGCATGTGAGTGATATAGACTAACAGCCATAAGAAATGTTTTAAAGCTGATACTGACAACGCTGTTAGTGACTCATGCACATGTTCTGACAAATCTAAGGCGAAGACTATGATGAAAAGGGAGATTAAGCATATTTGTAGCTTATTGTGTGTCTCCTCATAGTCTTTCCGTATCATTTTATGCAGAGAGATACAACCAAACATACAAGAGCAATCACAAGGGATGTTGTTTTGTACAATCTGGCACCATGGTCAGTCTGTACAGTCATGAGAACAGACTTCAAAACATCGACACAGACATGTGCAACGTCGTCCTTAATTCTGTACTGACCTTTGGGTATCATATGGCCATTAATATTCAGCTTAAGCTGTTCATTATCGGTCAGCTTATATTCGCTCTTGGTGAAAGCGACCGTCTCGCAGCTGACAAACCCGGATTTTGGGGGCAGATTGAGATTCGTAATCTCCGCATCAGACAGACACAAGATAAACTCTTGCAGATGTAAAATGCCGTAATGGTGGGAAATGAGTAGCGAGAAGACTCCTTGCTTCAGATCAACTAGCATGCTGGACTCTTCAAACATAGCATACATTTTGCCACCAGATTCCACAATAGACACATTCGTGAATACAGTCTTTTGTCCCGCTGAACACTCTATCGTGTCCATGTCATGTGTATTAGACACTACCATCTTGTCAAACATTACATCGGTTGTGTTTGTATGTCTGTACTGTAAAAGGGATATCTGTAGCAGTCGTATGACGTCAGACAGCATAAAGTCCAAGTCCACTTCAAACTCTGTTTTGTAAACTGAATTATTCATATTCGTTTTCAAAGGTGTCAACGCAGCAAACACTATTCTCAAGTTTCTGCTGTTTACATCAAATCCGTGCTTGTTTCCAGTTTCTGTTACGGCCATCCCCATGGATGACGTTACATCTTGAACCATCCTTGAGAGATCTGATGCTTCCTCAGTCGTATTGAACTGAAGCTTAAGGATCAAGTTTTGGGTATTAAAGGAATTTTGAACATTTTGAACGTACAAACACTTGTTGCCTATCAAAGTAGAATTGGAACATACCTTATCTTCACAAGTATTGAGAATATCATTCCTGGTTTGATTTTCATAACAAAGTATATAATCTGGAATTATTGATCCAAGTTGGCTGTTGAACGTGAAGAACATATCTGGAGGAGAAATATTCTTACGAAATAGAATTGTTTTACCAAAGGGTACAGATGAAGAAGAAAAATGAACATAACATCTCAACTCGTCCTCTGTGAAAGTCCTGTTTTACTGCACGTCAAACAGTGTGGGTTTCTGTGGACCCCATGATTTCCTGTCCCTACGCCGGCGATATAGCTTTGACAAAGCAGACTGACGTCACTGAAAGACAAGGAATCGTTTAGTCCAAGGTATCCTGTGCTGCTTGTATCGCACGTTGCAGCAGGTTCTTCTTCATTACAACGACGCAACTTGGAGGCAGTGTGGTACTCAACGTAAGACCTGCACCTTAGGAACGGTCCAGATCCACTGATAATAAATCTCATATTTACTGGCTCGTTTGTTGGTTCGGGACAGAGTAATGTTGAGTTCCATACAACCATATCTCGCCTGGGAATATTGTGGCACATAGCACAGAATATACTTGAGAATATTTCATAAAGGTTCCATCTGTTGGTGACAGGGGTATCAAAGGGGTAGGCATTTCCCTCGCACTTCTCCTTGATGATGTCATTGTTAAATTCTGCAGGACATCTGTTGATCATGTATATTGTCAAAGCCTTTTTACCATCATGAAGGCCGAGACACGTCGAGTATTCTGCAGTTCTCCGAAAATCATTGTAGACGACAGAGGGAGACTGTATATTCTGTTTGATGTCATATAGGAATGAAATTATATCATGATCTGTCCGTAACTTGATACAGGTCTCAAAATAGCCTTGGCAACAATCACCAAAAAGAGGACAAGCCTCGTCACAGTTGCAGTAATGAGTGGATGTGGTTCGTAAGTCTCCTTGGCATAGATCTGAACATGTCTGCAGACAAAAACCAGGAACCTCCACGCCAACAAAGGTGTCTGCCCCGGCCCTTCCTGCAACAAAGTATTTTACAACATGTCAGACCTGTAAAACATGTGTGTTTGTTTCTATTTACCTTTGCACTCAGCAGTTTTCCAACTACATGATGTCGATCTGTAAATAATCTACGTAACCTGGACACGATGGTATGCATCAACCAAATCAGTTAGCCATACAAACCCGATCCCGTTAGCAGACTCCAACGACAAGTATGTATGGGTTGCCTGAGACCAATTCTAACCCCGAAGTTTACATGTAAAACATTAATGTAGATCTTTTTCTTTGCAGCAGTGAGCTGGGTGTACCTTCTACCAGAGAAAACCCTAGGGACCTATTGTGTATCGGAATTGCTTTTGGGAAATATCCTTGAGGATCGTTGACATATTCTGCTAATGATTTACCAGGAAGAGGCATGCACAGGGTAAACTGGACCTATTCTGCTGTCGTGGTCAGGGGCAGAGACGCACAGGGGACTGTGGACCCATGGCATTAACAGGGGAAGCAGAGTATAGAGGACTCTGTGGTTCTCCGTACTTACCACTCATAGACATACAAAGGAAACAGTTGGCCTATTCTGCTCAGTAATTGACTGTTGGCCTATTCTGCTCAGTAATTGACTGTTGGCCTTTTCTTTTCTAGAATTAGCAGGAGGAATCAGAGTATAGAGAGGTGGTCCTTTAGTTCTCCGCAATTACCACACATAGGCATGCAAAGGAAACAGTTGGCCTGTTCTGCTCAGTAATTGACAGGGAAGACACAAATAGGGCACTGTTTGCCTATTCTATTCTAGAATTAACAGGGGAAGCAGAGTATAGAGAGGTGGTCCTTTAGTTCTCCGCACTTACCACTCATAGACATACAAAGTAAACAGTTGGCCTGTTCTGCTCAGTAATTGACAGGGAAGACACAAATAGGGCACTGTTGGCCTATTCTATTCTGGAATTAACAGGGGAAGCAGAGTATAGACAAGTGGTCCTTTAGTTCTCCGCACTTACCAGTCCTAGACATGGAAAGGAATCAGTTGCTTTGGGATTAACAGGGAAGACACAAGTAAACCTGGTTTAGTCCCACTCTCACAATATGGTATGCAATCAAAAACGAGAAGTTAGCGTAAGATAGCTCGCTGCTTTGGAAATATTATCTAAATCATTTTACTCACCAATGATGAAGAATATCCAGACAAATAACCCAACCATACTGTCGTTGATGGTCGTCGCATGTACTCTCCCAACACACCAAGTCAATATATATATATATATATATATATGTTCACTTGAGCACGTCACACAGCGTTGATTGCCCTTTTAACAAAGTAGGTAGGGCAGGAAGTATCTGGTTGTAATGATATTGTGACGGATACGTTTATGAGATGTGTGAAAGAGGCTGATTACAGAAACACGATCAAGATAATAAAAATAGCAGCCATCTCTGTTCACCGTGATGCTTGCTAAATGCGCTGTGATGATGGAACATTTGTTGAGATCGTGGACCAGCGCTAATGGCATTGATCAGATACTCTATACTCATTCACTTACAGCCGCTGATTAAAATGCTGGGACAGAAGGAGAATAATTGATGGCCTTTGATGTGCAGTCATTACCTTATATGGACCTATTTAGAAATATCGCGTGTGGATTCGATTCGTTTTGTGTAATGTTTGTTGTGAGTGACTTCACTAATGCCTTCAATCTATGTGATTAATGTTATTTGTTGTGCGAAATGCATCAGAGTACTTTATATTGGCAAATGATGGACCAATAGTAGAAGCATCATATATATTTCATCAATACAAATTTTATGACCGACAACACGTTACGGGTTCCTTTGGTATGAATTCTAAATAATGAGCATCAACATAAATGCCTTACTTTTTGTGTCATTTTATCATTGAAATTTCAAGATGTCATGTTTTTCATATTATGCCACTGAGTTTTACTAAATCATTGTATAAACACGAAAACATTCATGCAAATATTGCTAAATTTTGTTTTGTTTATCGCTTGACACCGAACTCAGCAATATCCCAGTTACATGACGGCCGTCTGAGACTAATCTATTCTGGACCAGACAGTCGTGTGATTAATACCATATGCATTGATCTACCCAATTGGGATACGATGATATGCATCACCCGGTCCCTAACCACCTGACCCCCAAACGACAGGTATTGGTTGCTGAAGACCAATTCTAACTAACTCATTGGTTACGATTACCTGGTTTACATATTTCTACCTCGGGTCCATGTAGGAAGCAAAAGTACTTTGAGTCCCTTTGGTCCTTTGGATGGTGATCTAAATCAGCTGTTGGCGATCTATAGACTGTTTATATTGTATTGCTTCCAATAGAAAAGTAGGTTAGATTAATATGCTATATTTACATCTGTGATATTCTGCGTGCTTTCACTGTCCTTCGTCGATTGGCTTATATAATCTACATTTATGTATCATGTATAACTTGTGTTATTTATGGTATGGTTGAAAATGCTGATGTGCCTAAACATATTAACTCACTCACTCACTGACTGGTATCAATATTAGTACACCGCTTATGTTGAACTACCTTTCATTAAACATCCCACTGTATAACACTGTGCAATAATGATACATCTATACACCGATAGCTTTGAAGGCGTATGAATATGTAAGCAGTTCACGATCTGCAAGAGTTGCGTCCACGCATCCTGCATCCAGCATCCAGCATCCAGCATCCAGCTAATCATGGCTTAATTCCAAAAGTCGATAAGTGATAAATCTCCTTGACCTTCCCCTATTATGAAACTTATTGGTGGATATAATTCTTGAATGACGACTAAATAGAAGTTGCAAAGAGAAATGTAGACACCATCCTTCATCTATTTCTAGAAATACTTCTCTTTGTTAAATGTCACATTAAAATGTCTGTGATCGGAAAGTAGGTTATGAAAAAATACAATCAATTTTTGGGTTATTTTTTCTGTGTGTTTAAATCATATGATATTATGAATATAAAGCAATGATTTAGTCTGTAAACATTCTGTGGTTATGGATGTTCTACGGCGCAGCCATTCACCATGCAGAATGGTGACACTTCAGGTCCCCGATTCGCACCGATAACATATCAATGTTTTCTTGTGGATTTCACAAAAGTGGAAGACCTTCATCATTTCGGATTTTCTACAAAATTAAATAAGCACTGAAATTTTGTTCAAAGCTGCCCTAAAGTAAACCTATACACTGTGATATTGTAAAGGTATCAAACTCATTTATGGTGCCACTGCCAAACACTGTGTCGAACATCGATGGTGTCGAACTTACGATTGTCTCGAATATAAAACTGGGTAATTTGTATATTCTGTATTTTGTCATCATTTTGCAGCTAACTCTTAGTTAGCAATATTCCAGGCGAGCTATTCTCGAAACGTTCGTAGCCCTACGAACTTCTAAAGCCCATTCTTAACACATTGGCTAGGATCAAAGTTAAGAATTCTTAGGGCTACGAACGTTTCGAGAATAAGGTCCTGGTTTGTAAATACCGAGTTTAGATCAGACAGTTAGTTGATTGACATCATGAGCATCGATCTGCCACATTTGAATACAATGACATCCATCAGCGATCCGATCCTGTTATATATGACGGATGTTAGGTAAAAGGACAATACGCTCGAATGTATGATATCAGGAGCTACCCCACTGTGACATGTATTAAGAATGTCAGCATCAATGAACACACAAGGTGGTAGTCTCCTCTTATGATAAGCACGGGTTGAAGAAGAAGAATTCTAACATCGATCTCCACGGGCCTTCTCACATTAATAAACGGACAGAGTGATATATGCAGTGTTGTTAGATACGCCTTATCGACATAGGGTGAACGTGCTCTTTTATATGCCCATTTTGCTGGAACATGTTGGCACTTCAGTTGATACCTGAGAAACGTTATAAGCAACACGTATGTTTTGACACCACAGCAACAACGAGCTAATCGGATAGAATGGTGTGGAGAGTTACTCTAGTCTGATCAATCCCCATCAGAAAAGCAGTCAGAAAGCCCAATCTCAAAAGAGAAATGCATCGAAGATAATGAAAATGTTGATTTTGTTTATTCATGAAACACTCAACAAAAATGCAATATTTTTCTTTGAAATAAGTCAGTCACATCTGCGTTAACTAGGGTAGTGCACAAGCGCATCCGTTGTAAACATAGTTAACGTTATAAAATGTGTATAAGAATAATGAAAAAGTATTGACAGGAAATTAAAACCATAACACGCGTGGAAATGTAGTCAGTCACATGCAGTGACAATGATTTTGTCAGACTTCAGTCAAAATGTGCCAATCTCAGCATTGCCGTAAGATGTACATCGTGATGCTGCAATTGCACATTACATCGACGTACACCAGAGCACTATATGTTCTTAATGGGATGGGTATACCCGCCTCGATTTAGCTAAATATCTCCAATAACTGGTAGGCCAGAGTCACCACTCCTTCACAAGATCACCACACCTTTCTTTCATGTCATCAACATGTTTCTGCAACCGAAACTGCAGAACATATGCTTCGTGTGAGGAACAGACAATCCGGAACCGTCTGCAAGAGTTGGGAATTGGAGCCAGAAGGCCGGTATTTGTATCTGTTTTAGGACGTTTGCCTCGACGACAATGTAAGCATTGGAGCATCATCATCCAGGCATCTGTTCGGAAAAGCTGACTGGAAATCACCTTAAATAACCGTTTAAGTCATCATCACATTTTGATTTTCACACACCGAGGGATGTTCAGTAAGCTGTAAATATTCAATTAACGATGCAAGACAAGTTTCTTCAGTCTTACAAGCAATTTTTGGATCTCTTCACTTTATGACAAAATATTACAATTTCGATAAATGACAAAAAAGAGCTCCCACTTACTCTTGTGTGATGTTTGCCTGTACTGTTAGTGGATTACCAGTTTTGTCAGTTGTAGGAATAGTGAACACTTGTGCATGAGTGTGGTCAGGAGAGGTTCTCACAGAAGGAACAGCATCAAAGTTAGCTGCTTCATGTCCAGTGGATAGCGGGAACGGATGTGTGATCATTTTACTGAGAACAAGAGTATTGACCAGGAAAAACGCCATCACAATATGCATTGTGTAATACATTTGTCCGAGGGCAGCGATACGGGTGTACTCAGCACTGACACCACAGGAAGAGAGGAGAAGCAGCAGGAGGGTAAGTAGGACATCATTCTGACATCGGCAGCAGAGTCTTCCTTTCAGCGAGTCATATCTGTGACACAGTCTCCAGCAGTACCACAAGGTGTAGCCGAGACAGGCTGATGTGATTAGAGACAACATCGCAGCAGGTAAAACGTAGGACAACAGCAGTGAGTGCCAGCTTCCCATCCAACGCACGACTCGGCCTTGACCGTACCCAACGTACAAAGTAGGGTGTTCTTTTTCAAGAACTAGGCACGCAACAACTATGCCCAATGCTACCAAAATGCATCCAATCAGAGGAGGCAGCCATCGAGGTTTGGTTTTGGTGTCTTTAAACAGGTTCAGGGCTTTCTGTTGCAGACAGAAAGCGTGGAGCATGTGAGTGATATAGACTAATAGCCATAAGAAATGTTTTAAAGCTGATACTGACAACGCTATTAGTGACTCTGGCACATGTTCTGAGAAATCTAAGGCAAAGACTAAGATTAAAAGGCAGATTAAGCATATTTGTAGCTTATTGTGTGTCTCTTCATAGTCTTTCCCTATCAGTTTTGTGCAGAGAGATACACTCAAACATACAAGAGCAATCGCAAGGGATATTGTTTTGTACAATCTGGCACCATGGTCAGTCTGTACAGTGATTAGAAAAGACTTCAAAACATTTACACAGACATGTGCAACGTCGTCTTTAATTCTGTACTGACCATTTGGTATCGCACGACCATTCATATTCAGCTTAAGTTGTCCATGATTGGTCAGCTTATACTCGCTCTTGGTGAAAGCGACCGTGTCGCAGCTAACAAACCCGGATTTTGTGGAGAGACTGAGATTCGTGTTCTCCGCATCAGACAGACACAAGATAAACTCCTTCAGGTGTAAAATGCCGTAATGTTGGGTAAGAAGAAGCGAGAAGACTCCTTGCTCCAGATCAACTAGCATGCTGGACTCTTCAAACATAGCATACATTTTGCCACCAGATTCCACAACAGACACATTCGTGAATACAGTCTTTTGTCCTGCTGAACACTCTGTCGTGTCCATGTCATGTGTATTAGACACCACCATCTTGTCAAACATTACATCGGTTGTGTTTGTATGTCTGTACTGTAAAAGGGATATCTGTAACAGTCGTATGACGTCAGACAGCATAAAGTCCATGTCCACTTCAAAATCTGTTTTGTAAACTGAATTATTCATATTCGTTTTCATAGGTGTCAACGCAGCAAACACTATTCTCAAGTTTCTGCTATTTAAATTAAATCCGTGCTTGTCTCCCGTTTCAGTTACGGCCATCCCCATGGATGACGTTACATCTTGAACCATCCTTGCGAGATCTGATGCTTCCTCAGTCGTTTTAAACTGGAGCTTAAGGAAAAACTTTTGGGTATGCAAGGAATTTTGAACATTTTGAACGTACAAACACTTGTTACCTATCAAAGTAGAATTGGAACATACCTTATCTTCACAAGTATTGAGAATATCATTCCTGGTTTGATTTTCATAACAAAGTATATAATCTGGAATTATTGATCCAAGTTGGCTATTGAACGTAAAGAACATATCTGGAGGAGAAATATTCTTTCGAAGTTCAATTGTTTTCCAACCGGCTAAAAATGGGTGAGGATAATGAACATAACATCGTAACTCATCCTCTATGAAAGTCCTGTTTTCACTGCAAGTCAAACAGTGTGGGTTTCTGTGGACCCCATGACCTTCCACCCCTACTGCGGTCACATAACTATGACAAAGCAGACTGACGTCACTGAAAGACAAGGAATCGTTTAGTCCAAGGTATCCTGTACTGTTTGTATTGCACGTTGCAGCAGGTTCTTCTTCATTACAACGACGTAACTTGGAGGCAGTGTGGTACTCAACCTGAGTCCGACAGCCAAGGAACGGTCCAGATCTACTGGTAATAAATATCATATTTACTGGCTCGTTTGTTGGTTCAGGACAGAGTAATGTAGAGTTCCATACCACCATATCTCGCCTGGGAATATTGTGGCACATAGCACAGAATATACTGGAGAATATTTCATAAAGGTTCCATCTGTTGGTGACAGGGGTATCAAAGGGGTAGGCATTTCCCTCGCACTTCTCCTTGATGATGGCGTTGTTAAATTCTGCAGGACATCTGTTGATCATGTATATTGACAAAGCATTTTTACCATCATGAAGTCTAACACACGATGAGTACTGTACAGTTCTACGAACATCATTGTAGGCGACAGAGGGAGACTGTATATTCTGTTTGATATCAAAAAGGAATGAAAGTATATCATGATCTGTCCGTAGCTTCATGCAGGTCTCAAAATAGCCTTGGCAACAATCACCAAAAAGAGGACAAGTCTCGTCACAGTTACAGTAATGAGTGGATGTGGTTCGTAAGTCTCCTTGGCATAGATCTGAACATGTCTGCAGACAAAACCAGGAACCTCCACGCCAACAAAGGTGTCTGCCCCGGCTCTTCCTGCAACAGAGAAACATCCACTATGTCAACGTCGAGGGGGTGTTCATTTTTCTTTTAGCTATATATGACTGTGGTCTGTAAATATTCGAGTCTTAACCTGACAATCGTTTGGTGAGTGAGTGAATGAGTGAGTTCATATTTTGAGTCATGTTGGCAATATTTCAGTCATATAGTGACCACAACCAGTTTTAAATTCATGATAAATACGTTTATTTTATGAAACCCTGTCAACGAAGGATAGTAAAATAACTAGATTATCACATATTTGTAAATCTATATCAAGGAAGGTTAAAATAATGCATTAACAATTAACGATACAAGATAAAAAGAAATAGAGATCGCTAACAAGCAAAGGTAGGCCACCATATTAGGGACCTTGGGGGCATACAATACTTCTGCTTCCTTCACAACTGACATCATGAACATGGAATACGATGAATTGCACTAACCAAGTCCAACCCTTTAGTCGACTCTTTTACAAGTAGATAGGTTACTGAATACCTTATCTGAATTATTGATATTAAGTCTGAAGCATTTGTGTAAGCTTATGCCTGTGAGGCGTGTATTTCACCCATCTGGGGTGAGGAACATAGAAAAAGAACAGGTGAACTTTGTGCAGTGGAATCACCCGGGGATATATGTTTAGAGCATTGTTGATCTTTTCAGATTATTGACCGGGAAATGGCCCCACACTGTAGATCTATTCTGCTCTGGTATGTTCAGGTGGATGACACACATAGAGGACTATGGATCTATACTCCTATGGAATTACCAGGAGAATACCTGCATAGGGACTTTGGGGTATGCTGCTCTGGAACAAACAGTTGAAGAAGCACATATGGGACTGAGCCCTCGGTTGCTTTGGAATGATAAGGGGAAGACTGGGCATAGATGACTGCAGACCTAAAATCCTCAGGAACTATCAGCTGGAGACTAGTGTTGGGCATTGGTTGAGATCTCACAATTGATGATTGGTTCAATACCAACGACCAATCATCGAAAAAATTGGTTAGCGTCATTTTTTAGATTTTCCTATTCAGGTTGTAGTTGCAGATAAGTATAAAGAAAAAAAACATTTGGTTCTCTGTTGTTGTTTTTAGAAACTGCACAAATTACATTTGCAGATTTCACATCCAGTGTAAAATGATTCAGTTCCATTGTAACATTAATATCCCAGATTCTTCAAGAAATATTCAGTCATGACTTTTCAGAAAGTGAAGTGAGTTTTCTTAGAAATAAACACGTTTTCAGGCCCTGACAACGTCCTAGATATGTTCCATCATCAAGTATTTCAAACTCTATTACAGCGGTTCCAAAATCGTTTGTGTTCGATTATGAGAAAATGTGATCGATTGCTTGGTCGTTTGGTCACTGTGACCAATCTTCGATTATTTCAATTAATCGGACCACCACTACTGGAGACACGCAAAGTTGAAAGTTGACTGGAAAACTAGTCTGTCCTGGAATTATCAAGGGAAGACGTGCCTAGGAGACTGTTGGTGTGTCCTGCGCTTGAAATATTAGGGGAAATATTACTCACCAATGATAAAGAATATCCAGACGAATAACCCAACCATGCTGTTGTTGACGGCCGTCGCCTGTGGTCTCCAAACATCAAATGCGCACTTCAGTACATCACACAGCGTTAAATGCCTTCTTAACAAAGAAGGTTTGGCAGGAAATATCAGGTTGTAATGATATTGTGACGGATACGTTTATGAGATGTGTGAAAGAGGCTGTTTACAAAAACACCATCAACATAATAGAAGTAGCAGCCATCTCTATTTACCTTGATGCTTGTAAATGCACTGTGTCGATGAAATATTTGTTATGGTCGTAGGCCAGCGCTAATGGCATCGATCAGATAATCTATATGTTGCCCTTCCCTTACAGACGCTGATTACACTATTGGGGCAGGAGAAAAAAGCGGTGGTGTTTGATGTGCAGTCAAAACCTGATATGGGCCTATTTACAAATATCGCTCAGGGATATGATTTGTTTTTGTGACTCCAATCATGCCTTCAGCATATCAAGCTAAGTGATTAATGCTATTTGTTCTGTCAAATGCGTCAGAGTACTTTATGCTGGCAAACGATGGGCCTATTGTAGAAGCATCATATATCTTTCATCAATTTTGATCAATGAAACCACGTTACAGGTTCCACTCTATTTAATGAGCATTTTAAAAACACATTCATTTTTGGCATTTATTTACTGAAACTGTTTACCGAATATGATGTGTCAAGTTATGTTACCGATATTTCTGTAAATCATTATATTATATACGCACGCACACGTGATGGAAAAGCCACACTAACTTGTGCGCCTCGTGGCTGCACGAGTTGTATGATCCCCAGGGAGTTGAGATTGAAAATACGATGTGTTTGAGATTGACATCCAATGGATGATGATGATCATTAGTATGATGATGATTAGTATGATGATGATCATTAGTATGCTGATGATCATTAGTATGATAATGATCATTAGTATGATAATGATCATTAGTATGATGATGATCATTTGTATGATGATAACTATCAGTATGATGATTATCATCAGTATGATGATGATCATTAGTATGATGATGATCATTAGTATGATGATGATGATCATGTGATGGGACGTACGCTTATATCATAATAATAAACGATGTGTTATATATGTTGATAGTTATGGATGATTGTGCTTCAGAAAGGCCCTGATTATGTTTCAATGTTTGTCAACAAAATGCCCTTAATCAAGGGTCTCACCAAAGAAGTAATTACATTTGGGGCTTTCCTCCAACACCAAGCTCACACCGAGATACAATGGAACAACCGATAAAGTGGTGATAAAGCAAACTGGCTCATCTGTTGTTTAATACTATCCCACACCAGGATGTCTAATTTCATTAGTTCCACTGAAAACATTTTGTCTCTTGATTTATATTTTTAATGAAGACAGTATAGTTACATTTTCGTTTATATTAATGTGTACAAATTTTACAGATGAATTAACAATACTGACATTATGAAAAAGTTAACACAGATTTCACATCCAACACTTCTAGGCGTCTCCTTATCAACGGCATGGATCATTGTGGTATTTCTATGGGGTGGTCCTTCGCGCTGTCGTTGCTGATTCCGGGTTACGTTAGTGTCAGCCTGTAAGGAGGGTGAGTGTGTCGTCACTGATGCAGCATTAGCTCCTGCACCTGGAGCAAAAACACCGGATACTGAACTCGTTCTTGGGGACGTTAGTAATCTTGTGTCTTTGTCATCACCATGATCTGGATTTTTGACCCGATCTTTTCCCCGTGGGACAGAAGAACCTTCGGCTGATGAATTGGATTTTGAAAGTTGACTATGAATTTCTGTCATGTATTTAACAGTAGCGGGATTTGTATGATGTTTCGTCAGTTCTTCAGCATGCACAGATGACTTAGTACTGATGTTCTTATTAACATGACTTTGAATGGTATCATTTACAGAACCACTGACTTTTACTTGATGGGATGCGTCCACACTTTTGGCCTTCGTTTTCAAACCAGTCTCTCTGGTTTCTCCACCAGTATGAGGGCCAACACTTGTAGTTGTAGTCCTCTTCCAATCAGGATTCAGTGATGGAGATTTTACAACCGATGTGACATTCTTCCTCGATCCAATCTCTGAGTCTGGTTCAAGAGTAGAGGGACCAACACTTAAAGTGGCATTTCTGTTCCTGCCAACATTCAGTGGTGAAGATTTCACATCAGATGTCTCCGTGTCTGGCTCTGTATTAGGACTGGAAGTCACGGTCTTTTCCCCATCTGCATTCAACGGAGGCGATTGTACAACAGAAGCACTATTCATCGGGGATTCAGTCACAATGCCTGGTTCTAACGTAGGAGGCTCAACACTTGATTTCACATTAACATCCCCCTGAAAATCCAGGGATTGTCTCGACAGGGACTGTGTGTTCTTCATGTTCACGATAGCGTCTTTGTTCCTTTCGACTTCAGTTGGAATACTTCCTGGGATTGTTTTCTGTGTGACATTATCTGGAATTACCGTGGTTGATGCTTCTAAATTATGACTACCCTTCATAGTTGAATGTTTCTTTAAATCGTCATTTATAAGTCCCTGCTCTGTTGATGAATTTTCAAAACTATTTTTATTAGTGGGGCTGGAATCGCCTGGGGAGGCATCCTTCTCGAATGTATGTGTCTGTTCTGTGGTGGGAGTGTCAACATCTGGAATGCCACCTGTTGTATTTGTTACAACAGACGAAGTATTTATACTACGATGAAGACTCGGTGATTCAGATTTAACTGCATGCACACCTTTTCTTCTGTCTGGTCCATCACCAGTGTCAGCCGGTTCTGATGTCCCACTGTGTTTTACATTATCAGGTATTCGCGTTGTTGGTTCTTTGAGATCCTGTGTCCTTATGTCTGAAATGTCGTATGGAACAGTTGTGGACATACTGTGTGATTTATACTCGACGGTCATCTCATTACTGGTTGAACTCCTATTCTCCACATTACGCATGTTAGATTCCTTATCGTTCTCTGTCGGACTTGTCTGTTCCAAAATAGAAGAGTCAACTGACAAATTCGTCTCTTTGTCAGCCGTTTTGTTTGATTTTAGACCAGCAGGAACAACATCAACTTGTTTTCCATTACCAGGAGTCGGCTTTGCAGATTCTTGTAAACGTGGACTTTCTTTTGGTGTGCTGTCATATCTACCAGTGGAAGCGTCATATCTACCAGAAGATGGGTCATATCTACCAGTGGAAGCGTCATATCTACCAGAGGATGGGTCATATCTACCAGTGGAAGCGTCATATCTACCAGTGGATGAGTCATATCTACCAGTGGATGTGTCATATCTACCAGTGGATGTGTCATATCTACCAGTGGATGTGTCATATCTACCAGAGGATGGGTCATATCTACTAGTGGATGGGTCATATCTACCAGTGGATGTGTCATATCTACCAGTGGATGTGTCATATCTACCAGTGGATGTGTCATATCTACCAGAGGATGGGTCATATCTACTAGTGGATGGGTCATATCTACCAGTGGATGGGTCATATCTGCCAGAGGATGGGTCATATCTGCCAGAGGATGGGTTAGACCTACCAGTGGAAGTGTCATATCTAATAGTGGAAGCGTCATATCTAACAGTCGAAGCTTCATATTTACTAGTGAATGGGTCAAATCGAGCAGAGGATGGGTCATACCTGACAGTGGAAGAGTCGTACCTACCAGTGGCTGTGTCATATCTAACAGTAGTAGCGTCATATCTAACAGAGGGGTCATATCTACCAGTTGAAGAGTCATATCTCACAATGGAAGACATCGCTTGCCTCGTCGAAGATTCACCAATGAACTTTTCTTGCGTTTGTGGTGAACGTGTAACCTCTGTTTTGTTCATGGCAAGTTTAATACGTAGGTCTTTGGCATCACTGCTTTTATTTTTGTGTTCCTTGCGCACAACGTTTGAAATATCCACACCCAATCCGTCTCTTTTCTGTGTTGTGTAGTTCGTTGTGCAGTCGTTAGCCGCTGAAAAAGAAGAAAATTGTCTTAGAAACATGAGCAACTGTTTTGTGTTGGTGTGAATTAGTTTAAAGATACACAACATGCCACTGACACTATTCGTTTAAAAGGGTCTCACCTCAAAGGCCAAATCTTACCAATAGGCAATGGTTGCCTATTGGGAGCACCCCCATTTCATCCCTGTTAACTGCCATACCACCCACACTGCATCTACCCCTTCAATATTATGATCAGTAATTGTAGTTTGCTGAAATACTAATCAATTATAGACTTTCATTTCATTATTTTAAGTAAAAATAACAATTACTCTATAGATCTAGACTGGATTAGGATTCTCTTATCACAGCTTAAATCCACCAAATACAATTGTAAAATTGGCCAAAAGTCCCATCAGTATTACCAACTGTTCAGTTGAAACGAAGATATACCGTAAGAATCAATCTGAGCGTTAGTTCTAGAATTATGGGTGGAGAATGCCCGGGGGAACAGGTGAGGTAGGTGGCCTGGATGGTTATGGAGGAAGGAATGGGGTGGGGTAGGGTGGATTTGGGGGTGTGGTGGGGTGTGGTGGGATGGGATGGGATGGTGGGTAGCAGGCTATATGAGAATATTCCTAAAGCCCATTTTAGCATGAACGAACACTCTGTACATTAAACGGTATGATTAAATTTCCTCACATGATATAGGTTATCATTGTATTGCTGGACGAAACGTCCAACATGACTACCTTAAATACCTCCACCCATAAATATCTTTACCACATTCTGGGGAGATGGGGGTAGCCTAGTGGTTAAAGCGTTCGCTCGTCACGCCGAAGACTCGGGTTCGAAGCCCATTTCTGGTGTTCCCCGCCGTGATATTGCTGGTATATTGCTAAACGCGGCGTAAAACCATACTCACTCACTGAATTTACGACATTCAAGTTAAATTGAATTTAGTTGTACTTACATATTTTCCACGGTTTTGGGTTCTGACCTTGACCTTCTATGCCTATCGACATTGTATCAAACGGGTTCTTTATTCGCCAGCTGCTTCCAGCCTCATACTCACACGAATAGCCAAACCCGAGCATACCTTGTTGAAGACCAATAAAGTAGGATATAGTCTGTGTACAGTCCTGAGCGCTTGTGTTTGGCGTCACTTTAAACACTGACTCACATGCAAATGTCTTACAGAAGTGAATGTCTGTGAGCCTTCCCTTATTTGCTTTGTTATATTCATTTATGACAATTTTATATGAGTTGTTGACCA